CGCGGGGCCGTGGTGCAGAGCAGCAGCTTCTCCGCAGCCCCAGGATGTGCCCGCGTGGTCTGGGCCCGGCGTGAGTTGCTTCAGTGCCCATGGTAGGAGCCTGAATATTTGCCTCGGCAGGTGAAAGCGTTTTAACTCCTTTCTGACGAGTTGCCCGGTTTTGTGCTGGGCGGAGAAGCCGTTGGGTGAGGTCTGGGAGAGGAGGCTCCGTCCAGCGCCAAGCATGAGATGGTTTGAGCCGAGTGGGGTCAGATGTGCCTTGCGAGAGGTGCTCGGCACCCTCAGGGTCTGCATCTCAGCTCATCCGGAGAGGAGCATCTCCGGAGGGGCCCTGTCCTTTTGGGATACGTGCTGCCAGGCCCCTGGCAGGGAGGGGTGCAGCTCCTGCAGCCACCCGGGTCCCTCCCCATCCTGCCTTGGCTTGGTCACCAAAGCATCGCTTCAAGTATTTCCCTTTCACGAGTGCCTACGAAGCCCTTGTTGTTGTCTGAGTCGCTGCCTGGGGCTGGGCTGGGGCCAAGGGGGGTTATTCCCATGGGACATGCCAATGGACATTGCACTCGTGGGAGCACCCACAAAACGTGGCCCTGGTTCCTCTCCTCTCCCTCTTTGTTCCCTCCCCTCCTGGCCTCTTGCAGAGAATTGAATGTGGAGCCTTTAAAAGTATTTTTGTTGCAGAGTATATTTTGCATTAGCTGTAATAGTTGTTATAACGACTCTGTGCACCTTCTAAAGATTTATGAGTTCAGGTTGCTGCTTGTAATAACCAACTCTTGTTATACCCAAGTTGTAATTAATATGTCTGATGTACAATTAAAAAGCCTTTTTTTTTTTTTTTTTTTTAAAAAAAACCCCATCACTGGTTCTTTGTAGTGTCAGGATTATTGCCTTTGGGCACTGGGGGTCAGTGTGTGCTCCCGGGCAGACGCCCAGTGCCCGCCACGATGCAGCTGGTGCTGCTGGGTCGTGCTCCCTGCCAGGGTGAGGTGTGTTCCCTCCGCCAGAGAGATGCTGCTGTGAAGCACAAGAGCAGCAGAAGGATGTGAAGGGGCGAGTGTGGGCGCAGCCCAACGGGGGACAGGGACAACCCCGTCCCCCTTGCAGCGATGGATTTTGTAGAGGTGCTGCCCTCGCTCGTTGTCCTACAGAGCGGTGGGGTCCCAAATGGCCCCCATCCACTTAATCTTGGCCTAAAGCTTGCATGTGGTACAACGTAGCCCTGACAGGGCTAAACAAAGCTTATCTTTGGGCGGGGTGCAGACCTGGCCTGGGGGTGCTGGTGTTTGCTTCATGTGCTTTATTCCATTTTGCCGGACAAGGTGCCTAGCTGGGCCCCTGTTTCTTTGGATTTAGCACTGGAAAGTTTCCTGCTCTCAGAGCTCAGATCACTTTCCCTCTTGTCTTCTCTCTCCTGCACCCGTGAGCCTTCCCCATGCTTCCTTTGACAGCTGATGGGGCCACACAAGCCCTTGGGCACCGCTCTCGGTGCCTGCAAAACGCCCTGTCCCGCTGCTCCATAATCCCGAGGTGAGCAGGTAGGAGCTGGCGGAGCATCAGTCAGCGTCGGGCTGGAGAGAGTCGCTGTAAACCCACGACTGACCCTTCCTCCTACCCAGCTCGCTGTGGATGCTGCGCCCGCAAACTGCAACAACCCATCAGCCCACCCAGGTAAGAAACTCCTGTTTATTCCTTTTCACAGTCACATAAATAACTCGATATTGTTCCATAAATTATATCCCGTTAAACTATTAACATGAGCATCTTTAAGGTTAAACTTGGCCCGGGTGGAAAGCCACCGTTCAGGCATGGGAAGGGAGCAGGGCTGGGGTGATACCCCACAGCCAGGGCATGCCCTGATCCTGCTGGCCCTCGGTTTTCCTGAGCTGGCAGTGGACGTTGCCCAGCTCAGCTCCGCTCTCCCCATCGCCGCAGAGAGGGCAGGGTCAGCGCAGGCGCTGCGTGCGGCTCCTGGTAAGTGCTGGAGGCGTCCGCAAAAGTCTGTTGTTTTCCTTGGATTTTGTAGGACTCGACCCCAGCGCGTTTCAAGACAGCAGGAGGGGGCGTGAGCTGGAGCGTCGCGGGGTGCCCGGCCACATCCTCCGGGCTGGGGAAGCAGGA